GATGTTTTGGGTCATATTTATGCAGAAATATAGAAAATTGTAAAGGGTTCACAAACTTAAAAAATGTATTGTATATATATATATATACACACACACACACACACACACACACACACACAGTATACAGTATATAAATAGTACTTGGTTTGTCCTTCTTTTGCTTTAATGACAGCAGCAATCAAACTGCATGAACTTCACAATTTTGTGTCAAACCTGATGATGGCTCTCCAGCATGATTTGAGATGATCCAAGGACCATTTTGAACTTCAGTCTTATGGGTGACTCTAACAAGTCTCTAAGACTTGGTCGACTGCTTTGATCCTGCTCACTACACTGAATAAGGTTCATAGGCCATTCCTCCTGCCCTCTATCAGACACCTTCCCACTCACGAGAAGCGCCGTCCGACCCTGCCGCAGAGCAGGTGACTGGGGGTGGAGCCCCAGGGCCTGGGCGGGGCTCTGGAGGGGGCGGAGCAATCGGGTCCACTATGATGTCTAAATCAGAGACCTTCCAGGGGCCGGGAGGCTTTCTCACTCCATCTAATCCCCCCCACAAATCCCACAACATCAAAGTACAGGGACACCAAAGAGAAAAGAGAGACACACACATACACATATGCACAGCACAGAGCAGAAATGACACAAGAGGTTAGAAATGAAGAAAATGAAAAATCAACTTCATAAACAAACAGTAATTGAAGAGAGGAAACTCACAGCAGGAAGTGATAGGATACATGCTGTGGTCTTTAAGAGAAGTACCAAACCACTTTATTTACATTTACACATTCAGCAGATGCTTTTATCCTAAGCAACTTTCTTTCTAGGTATACATTTAATTAGCTTATACATTCTCTGGGAATCAAACCCATGACTTTAGCATTGCTAGCAGCATTCCCTACTGTTTGAGCTACAGGAATGCTGTAGAACTTAATGTAAGAGCTAGTTTCAGCCTTATTAAGCCCAAAGTATACTTTGGTTTGAACTCATACACCAGGGAGAGTGCATGATGTAAATTTCATCATCAGCATAGTATGTGCATACTTCCAACCACACATTTTTTGTTGGTCCACAAGGTGGCAACACCAGCCCTGGCCATTGTTTCACAGTCGAAACAGAAACTAAAGAATCAGAACATCAAACTTCTTGAGACTGCAACAACAGACAACTGCATCGATGAGCGCTTGTCTGAGGGTGTTAAGAGAGACCTGCAATTTTAGTTTAATAGAGTACAAAGACATTTTATCAGGCATAACCTCTAGAGACAAAAAGGGAAGACAAAGAACAAAGATGAAACTTACTAGTGTGCATGTGTCGAGTGCCTATGTTTGTGGAAGCTATCAAATGGAGTATACTTTGAAAGGGTATGCGTTCGGCTGTATGCATACACTAAGTGTTCACGTCAAAGCTTAAGTACACTTTGGGCTTTAGTCACAAATCACACTTTCAAACTGATCTACTGGCTGCTACACAGTCCGTCACAAAACAAGTCATGTTGACATGGGGCCAGTGGATGTAAAAAATAATTTGAGGAATAACTAGTTGTTGGATTTGTCAAAGTTCGAAAGATCATCAGTTCCTTCAAAAAGTGTTTTGTTTGAGGCAAATGAAGGCAGTGAAGTAGACATACATAATTATTGTTTTATGAGTGGTGTCTGTCAAATAACTGGTGCTTATTACTTTTAGGTGGTCAAATGCTCTAAGAGATTGTTGCATCATTATTGAAAACACTTCATTGCTTGCTGGTCTATTAACAATTGACTGAACTTAAACGAGAACAAAATAAAATGTGGTTGTTTGCTTTAAATGGCTAAGTAAGCATTACTGGCAGGAATCAGCTGACTTGGCTGATAAGTCTGGATCTACAAGACTAAATGTCGACCTTAAATACAGACTACCACTGATCAAAACTGACCAAAGCAGTGATCATTTTCAATCCAATGTGGATAAAGAGTTCATATTGCAAATTTTGTATGCCGATTCACAATGTAGGATTCAAATACACAGACAAAAATGGTACCATTCATTTGGCACCATTTCATTCCAAATAAATGTTTGACGTTATCATGCAGACGTCAGTGTTTAAGAACTGACCTGATTTGGAGCGGGCGTGGTTGGCTGGGGTGTTAACACCCAGTGACTGAGGTTTGAGAGGTTCAGGGGGCACTACGTAACCCTCCTGTCTGCCTGGCACTGGGACCTGGATGTAGGGTCCCACAGCTGCCACACGGCCGGTGTTTCCGGGAGCCAGCTGCGGAGAGGGAGGACCATTTACTCTATTCAGCTGCAGAAAGGGGAAAAGGGCAAAAAAAAGGGCAAAAAAGGAAACAAAAGAAAAAAGTATTTAGCTTGGTTGAAATTCAAAATCTTTCACAAGCTCCAGATTAGGTCTCTAGATGTCTGAGTGGTTTCTGAACAAGATTGCTAAATAAAATAAACTAAGAAGTGTGAGTAAGGCCTTACTGGAAGGTTTTCTTTTTGACGTGCCTCAGCTTTTCTCTTGTACAGTCGATCTCTGAGCTCATTGATACGCTTGTCCATCAGTGTTACCTCCATGTTTCTCTTATTCAACAGCTCTTTTTGCTGCTGAAGTTTACTGTTCTGCTCCTGATTCAGCTTATTGCGTATCTGATTGGGAAAAACAGCAAAGTAATGATCAACATTATCACTGATAGAAATGACAGGCACACTAGTAACACAGACATACACAGAATAAGATCAAGAACGATCAAGATCAATGGATATGGCAGATTCCATGTTTCTATACAACAAATGTCATAAATTCAACAATTGTGAACTGATATTCAAATAACTGTACTAAAATGCAGTGGTGGACGAAGTACACAAATCAAGTACTTGAGTAAAAGTACAGATACATATAATAAAATATTACTCCAGTAAAAGTAAAAGTACTCTAAGTACAGTAACGAATTAAAACTACTCAGTTACTGTCCACCACAGCTAAAAGCAATGTAGGAAAAAAAAGTACATTTTTAACTAATTTTAATTGCCACACCTTATTTTGTTGCAATATACAACATATTAAAAAAAACTGCATTATTAAAAGTGGTCAAGGTTCTTTTATGGTGAAAAATCACCACAACAAATCTCTGAACAGAATAGAATAGAATAGAATAGAATAGAATTAATTAAATGAAATTAAATGAACTTGAGTTGAGTGTGTGCTCGTACCTGCAGCTCCTGGTACAGTTTGCGGAGCTCCAGGGCAGCGGTGCCGGTGACCTGACCCCCGAGGGTCTGCAGGCCGTTCAGTTTGCCTCTCCTCAGGTCCTCCAGCTGCTGGCTGAGCTGATCCACCCTCAAGACGGCTGCCTGCAGCTCTGCCTGCTTCTCCTGGAACAGCCCGCTAATGTGCTCGATCTCTGCGGCTAACAGACCACAGCAGAGTAATACACATGCAAACTTGCGTGCAAACACAGGCATACATGAGGCGACATACTTTCTCCATTACTATAGGATTATTATTTAATGTTCAGTGAAAATGTAATGTATGGCTGCACATGTTGTACAGGAGCTCTTGCAAAATGCAAAACTAGCAGGCTGAACAGATATATTCTATTCAGTAAAATTGACTTTTATTGTCCACACAATTTCTCAACCATACAATATAGCTTAAATGCTGGCACAACATGAGTAAACCACCCAGCTGAGGGTTAAAACTAAAGGAAAAGGTTTCACAATTAGAAAATCTTTCCCATTCTGCAATAAAGATAACAATCCACAAAAATATAATTTTAAACTCAGTCCTTAAAAGACTCATCTCCAGCAGAATGGACAATCCCATCTGGAGTTGCGTGTGTGGGAGAACTTGGCATTATGTGAGATCATTACAATTCACAAACTGCCCCAGTCCAAATCCTGACCTTATGGCATGTGTTTTTATGTGTGCATGTGCTCGCAGTTGCAGTTGGAAGCTCAGTGCCCTCTCACGCGACCGCTTACATGAAGCAATCTGGCTTAATACAGCCATGCAAAAAAGCGGCATCACAATCGCCAGCAGTAAGCAATGGTGTTTCGACTTCGATGAATGCTGAAGTCAGTGGTCAAGCAAGTACTGTACATACACAGGTTGCCATTGATGACTTTGCTGTAGTCCACTTGGCCCCTCATGCAACGGATCTTCTTGAGTTTGGGAGGGGCAGTCAGACCAAAAACAAAATGTATGCACACAAACAAGGATTCATGACCGGTTTAATTCTACAGCCATAAATGACACAGAAGACTTGAGAAACAGACACGACCGTGTATCTGCAGGGCTTATTGTAGTGAGAGCTGGGTGTGAAATGACCTGTGGCCAAGTAAACACTTGGAGCTTAATTATAACAGGAGCGCTAATGTTAGCGTAGGCCTGCTGAGCTCATCGGGAAGAGGAATGGTGACTCTTTTAGCCGAAAGGGTCTAAAACAGGCCTGTGCCAGAGATGCATCCCAGAATCCCACTCTGCATTCTGGAAGATAAGAGCAAGTTGTCCGTCACTGCGGCTGTCGCCAGGGTGTCGCCATGGCAGCAGAGCAGAACTGTTGTGTAGCAAAGATTAAAGGCACCAAAATACTCAGATGGCAATTGCCGTGATAGATTGCCATTTAGAGCAATCAAGCAGAACTGAGGTCAATTAAAGGCGCCACGATACATGATGTGAACATGGAATATAAAAGTGTAGCTATGAAATAAAGAGAAGCAGTGTAGGGTGACTCACATAAACCTGAAGCAGAACACCATTAACAACCTGGTTCATGCTGTGTAAAAGTTCCCCTTGAAATTCAAATCTTCTATTGTCTGTGGCAATACAGCAATGCTTCCATTTCCTAAAAAGCCAGCAGACTGTTTTGTCTCTGGGCTGTCCTAAGCAAAAGCCATACAAGTGCACTCACACAGTGTTTAAGGTTGAAGCTGGGCCAGTCATTAAGGTTATGTAAGGACTAGGGGCAATCAGGCAGATCAGTTGGAGTGAAATACGTTCATCAATTTTGCCAATATGTTAACTATAACGTCAAAAGTTACACATTGGCTGACATTTAATTAGTAATTAATTAAGTAATTAATTTATTTTATAAAAAAAACACTATGCACTATTTTTCAAAAGTTTAGTGTCAGTAAGATTTTTGTTAATGTTTTTGATATTCTCTTATGCTCACCAAGGCTGCTTATTTGATCAAAAATACAAAACAGTAACATTGTGAAATATAATTTTTACAATGTCATTTGTTCCTGTGATGGCAAGGCTGACTTTTCATCTGCCATTATTCCAGTCTTCAGTGTCACATGATCCTTCAGAAATCATTCTAATATGCGGATTTGCTGCTCAAGAATGTTTTTTATTATTATCAGCATTGAAAACAGTTGCGCTGCTTAATATTTTTGTGTAAACCATGCAACATTTTATTCTGGATCCTTTGATGAATAGAAAGTTCAACAGAGCAGTAAAAAATTAGCTACAGCATGACTGTTTCAATAGCTAGATTTTCTCACTGACAAAATTTGCCACCCACATCGAAGCATCATGGAACAGAATTCAATGGCAATCTATCAGCATTAATACTAATATTAACATAATGAGCACACAGCATGAGAAAGATACTGTGGTGATGTTTGTGGCGTGGTATTGCCAATCTGTATGCCTGTTTCTTTGTGTGTGCGCAGCACGATCTCTCACTCTGTGCGAGTGATGTGTGTGTGTTTGTGTGCATCAATGAAATCAGCACATTAATAGAGTGGGGGAACTATGACACCAGAACCCAAAAGTGTAATCTGCCGTGGTTTCCTTCGAGATTTTCCTATGGTGGTTTTAGAATGGGGTTTTTCAATTTATGAGTAAAATAAAGCCTGTGGTAAACATAACTTGACAATACTAATTATTAGTGATTGCTGAGAAAAAAAAAGTGGGCTTTGCCTGGAGCAGAAGGCCAAATCACGTCTGGATCAAATCAATTGTCATTTCACATCAGAATGAGGGATTGAACTTTTTCCCCCACTGTCATCGCTTTTCTTGAGACTAAAACAGGCTATATGTCAAACACACCAAGTAACAGTACAAACACAATGGCTATGCCTATAATTCAAATGTGTTTGAAGACACCAGTTTAGAAACAGTATCATTTCAGTACTTCAAATGATCAACTTTTAAATAACGCTTTATAACAAAAAAGCGCTAGACATCTTAGCTCAACACTTACCAGTTTTTTCAGTTCAGCTTCCGTTAGCACAAAATACTCAAGACTTGATCAATAACGATGCAGATTTTCGTGCAGTTCCCATAAGCACGAGCTCCATGGAAGATCTCCAAATTTCATTAAAGTTGAAATGACTTGACTTGACTCAGTTTGCTAGGGAGTGAATCATGGCTTAAAGGCCAATTGTGTCAGGTTCTGTTTACCCACACAGGCGACTCCGTATGGCCACATCACATAGGTTATAAAGAGCCCATCTCCATGGCAATGTGGCACAAGGAGCGACATACAACAGACTGATTTGATTATCCGTTTCTGAGGTGGTACTGGGGAGGGAAAAAAAATCCTCAGTTTCCTCTGACATTCAGTGGAGGGAGTTGTTGGCCACCCTTCAGACTGCATAGCATGATCTTTCCTGCTTTTATCCTTTCGGATCCTTTTTACCAGGCATGGTTGTACAAATATGGCCGTGGATCTCTAGGGAAGGTGTGTAAGAGATCATTCAACTGTGTGGCGAAACTCGATGCTTGTTAAAACAATAATCGGCCCTAAGAGGTCTATTAAGTAAAGATGGTTTTTATTTAAAGAGCAGGCTTCATATTTCCTGGGGCCAAGCTGAAAAAAGGGAGGCAGTTTCTTTATTTCTCTGATAAAATTACCACCAAGAAAGCAAGACTGAAGACTTTGCTCGCTGTTTTCTTGCTTTGTAGGAAGGCAGAACAATTTCTGTGAAGCAGTTCATTCAGTACAAGACAAAGGAAGCAGGTCAGTGGGTAATAACTTGGACTCTGGGGCCTTGTACTATAGATCACGTGCCTCAGAGCCGCTATATATCTTGTACCTTCCAGATGCTTCAAATTCTGGAGTGATGGAAGCCTGGGACAGTCCTGTTTCGTAAAAAGCCATTAGACATTTCGTTAACTTAAACCACATGCTGGTCTCTCCAAAATATGCCTGCCTAAAAACATCAGAAATCCGGAAAGAGCAAAATAATTGGCAAGCAAAGAGAGTTTCTGCAGGACACACTTTTTTTTTTACTGTTGCAGTGCTTAGGGTTTTACAGAAATAGGTGTATTTCCCATTTTAGTGGTGTCTGTCATGCAGTAGGGACATTTTATGCGTGCTTTAAAAAAACAGCTGAAAGTAACAGAACTGTTGCTGAGATTTAGACTTTTCATTTTCAAAAAATTCTCCATACACCCCAAACTTGAATCGCAGGACAAACTCTGGCATTAAATACTGCATCTCTGCAGGGCAGCGTTTCCCAATCAAAGCAGCTTTGCATGCAACGTTACACGTTGCCAAAGCACATTAGCCAAAGCTGGCTGGTGAAATATCAGAAAAAGGTAAGCTCGCCTTTTGACAGAAATATGATTTTGATATGATTGTATGGCGCACAACCAAGGAGTTTTATAATAAGTCAAGCGATATAAGTATCCATCCTTCATCACTTCACAGACTGCACCCACATGGACAGCATGTTCAGCTGTGACTCTTGGCATGGAGGAAGCACACACATAATGCGTTTTCCACACTAAGATTTAGACCGGCGCTTATTTATTGGCACTGGCCTGAAAGCTGTACAGATCTTAGAGAGGATGTAAAAGACATTCAAACATTGTTATGATAAGCTGTACATTAGAATGCCAGGACGGTGATCTTATTTAACATTAAAGCATAAAAATCTGAAGACATAACTCTACCACGACAGCATTATCCACAACAGTGAACACTTAACACTAAACAGGACTCGGTATTGACACTGATTGCTCAATTTGATTTTTATTCCAATGTATTAGTGTATATTTCAGTTATAATGCCATTCTGCTTAAATCTCTCTCAGCTAATGTTATAAATCATACAGGGAGCCTTCTAACTTTGTACATAAACATATTAATAACAACAGGGCCAAAATTATGCAGTTATTTATTTAACAGATACAATAAATCAGCTCAACCAAAACTTAGTGAGCTGCCTTGATTATTATTTGTTGAAACAAAATTTACAAATTTTATTTGTTTTGATTTTAGGATGAAATATGGGATAACAGTTTGACACTTGTGGTGCAGTATTTGCCACAGCAGTCATTTTGGATAAAAACATATATATGCTAAGTAAATAAATGTAATGAATTCTAACGCAATTTACCCAATACTGGAGAACTCATGAGAAAAGCCAACAACTAACAAGCAATCCGTTATAAACCTGAAATCATAAAGTTGCATTTAAATTCACACCATAATGCATAACTGTTTCAGTGGGGAAAAAATGAGGTAGAAACTAAAAGAATAAAAGATCAAGAGACATTTTTAAATACTTAAATTCATGACAAAACGCATGAAAATGAGTGAAGAAACAGCAAAACCTGGAACATGTTAAGCCCTGGAGAGAGTATCTGCCCACACACAGGAACAGCTTCAACTTTATAAAACATGATCTGCCCACATAGTTCAGTGTTCTGGAGCCCATAACTCTGCATGCGTGATGGACAGACACAGTCTTCCTCTATAAGAAGTGGCTCTAGCACCAATACATACCATAGAGCAGCCTATTACCCACTTAATCTATAACAAAGACTCAACACAAGAGAAAGACTGACAGCTCTTATTACTTTCCAAGTACAATGGACCACACACAGATTCAACAACAGCTGATTTAAAGCATTAACAGCCTATGAATGTTCAGAAATGTATTATTAAAAAGAGATCTTGCGTAGGATGGTCACTTTCTGCATGGAATGCAGAGGCAGCCTTACCTTTTAGACTCTCCCTGGGGGCACAAAGTCAATCCCGGCCGTGAAGATGAACGAAGTGTGCAGGGATGGTGTGAAGGGATGAAAGAGGAGACAAAATGAACAAGTAGAAGGGATTGACAAAAAGGACTGAAGGTGCACTGCCACGCTCCACTGTAGACAGGGCCACGGTGACCCTCTGACACAGCACGCGTTTAGAAAGGAGACTCTCGCTAAAGAAAACAGATGGAGTAACAGCGAGAGGAAATGAGAGAAAGGGGGCCACCCACTATTTCATAAGGAGAAAAATGTTCCCTTTTACAGGCTGGCCACACATTCAGGGATTTACCCTACTGTGAACGCTGGCCGTGGTTGTGTGTGTGAGAGAGAGAGAAACATCTTCAGAGAGGCAGAGAAGTCAAAGCAGAGAAAACGGCCCTGCTGTAAAACCACAGGGATGATCCTCTTAAAAGCGGTTATGTCATGAAACGGGGTGTAATCCACAAAATAATAAAGACATAACAGGAGAATAACAGTACAACAGAATGTGTTATGAGAGTTCAAAGAATTTTACTCTGACACACACACACACACATATATACAGATGTCATGCTGCTGAATCAGTACAGTGTTTGTGTGCCAGTGATGACTTGCCTTGAATCCTGGGTAGGGAGAGAAATTACTTTAAGTACAGGGATGGGCTTCTTCTTTGGGATTGTTCATGTTTAGAAGTAGACAGGCTAAGATGAGGCCAGAGGGAGAAATCCGATTAAACATCCCAAAAAAAAAAAAAAGCCTCCTAGGGAGAGAAATTACTTTAAGTACAGGGATGGGCTTCTTCTTTGGGATTGTTCATGTTTAGAAGTAGACAGGCTAAGATGAGGCCAGAGGGAGAAATCCGATTAAACATCCCAAAAAAAAAAAAAAGCCTGCTGTTGCGAAATATGCCAGGAGTTTTGTCTTAGCTGTACTCTGAGGCTCAGCTCCAGTCAAAATGCCTGTCCAGTCCTAGGGTAGACAACAGGACGTCATCACATTCGAGGAGAATTATTTGACGTTAGCTATGCACCATAGGTACCACATACTATGCAAAATGACCCAAAATGGATATTCATTTATGCTTTGCTGCTAATTTACAAATCTCCACCCAAAAATAAGTCACTACCAAATCAAGAGGCTTGCTATAGGTTGGTGCTACAAATTTGCATGTCAAAGTTCACCAACTTTAACTTGATGCAAAATTCGCATAGGGAAATTTCTTTACTACAGGAGTCCATCAGGCAAAATTCTTCATTGCACTGATTGCCTTTGAAATGACTGGATTTCTTTGGCAAAATTTCATCCAGCAACGTAAATGAGTCCCCACTTTAACTTTGAAACTTTAAACACAGGAACTGTCCCAACTGCCAATATACAAAAAGTGTTCATATAATCCTTTGAACAGTTTCAAATATATATATAGAAAGTCTTTATAGACTAAAGGGCCGGTCACACTACACTTTTCAGCCCATTGACTTCCATTCATATGCATGTGATATTCTTATAAAAGACACTGCTGAACATGACGTCATATCATGACCATTGCAGCATCTGAAGAAATTTTGCACGCTCAAAGTCTAGTATGACCATGGCTTTAAGTCTTAATTTTCTCAATTTCCATAAACTGCACCGCACTGGAAGCTACGGTGGCCACTGAGGCACACAATCTTGCCCATTCTAACCACCTCATTGGCTGATTTTAAAATTTGAACTTTGCTTTAGTTTGTATTTAAAGGATTCATTTTCACCACTAGAAGACCCTGTCAATTATCCAATTCATTATTCATCTCTTTATTACAAGAGTCACAGTACAAGGGTCAAAATTAAATTTATGAATATACTTTAACATAAGCATATCTGTCTGCGCAAGCTTAATTGTGTTGTTACACTCCAAAATGTCTCTGAACATAAATGATAACGCGACGCAAGCATTGTCAACTTCTCAATCATTATCTTTTACAGTCAGCTATCTCTTCCAGGCCAACTACTATAATGGCAGAGCAATTCTCATTCTGTCCTCACCTTCTGTTTCTTCAGTACAGATGGCAAATTAATCCTCAGTTGTCAAACTAAACCATTTAATCAAATTATTCCAAGAACATTCAGGATCATGGGCAAAATGAGCCAAATGCCATGGCTATATAAGTTAAACCTCTTGATTCCCCTTAAACACAAACAAAGAGTAAAAATGAGAGCCATATGGCTACTAGGGATGCGCCGATCCGATATTCATATCGGGTATCGGCTCCGATAGTGCCATTTTTCTCGGATCGGGTATCGGTCAGAGAGGGCCGATCCAAATCCGAGATTTTTTTTTTTTCCCCTGATTGTGCGAATTATTCTGTGTTACTTCTGAAGCCATACGATAGCTTAATGTGAGCTACATATGAATATTTAAGTCCTTACATTAAAGTTCACACAAACTCTTTTCTCCGCTGTGGCTGTCAGTCATTCGTTCAGCCTTTAAACCCTGGTCGCGTTCGGTTACAGCAGTCAGCTCGGTAAAGCTCTCTCCAAGATCATTCTGTGTTCCCATTATACTTGATTTGTAAATACATGTCTATGATTTTGCAAAAAGGACTTTATCTTCTTGCCGGAGTTTAATGTTATTTTGTTACTTGCTACCGGGTGTCTGTGAGAACAAAACACGGGCGTAGAAAAGACTATAAATAGTTTTTAACGTGCACAGTAACTAAAATTTAAAACCGTTAAAAGAAAGGCTCAATAACTGTTGCACAGATTTAATATACTACGCATCAATTTCTCTTCCCTTTGTGCTTTGCAGTTTTTAACACGAAGCGCTTACAATGTGCGCATTCGGTGTGCAGGCTGTGACACCAGGTTGCTTCAGGCTTCAAGCGCAGTCATAGATTATAAATATACATAGGCCTATATTTTTTAATATTTATTGTTTATTTTATTTTTCTTTATAATGAAGTAGTCTGTATCTAGTAGATTGTGAAAGAATGATTATCAGTTCCACACAGAGATATATAATTTCTACATTTATTTAAATGAGGGAAAAAAATCTTCACTGGTATTGGATCGGTATCGGTCAATACCGAACCCTAGGTATCGGAATCGATATCGGAGGCGAGAAAGGCGGATCGGAGCATCCCTAATGGCTACCTGACAAGACAGGCAGACAGGTGTGTTGTGTAACAGTCCCTACAGTAAGGCAGCACCTGTCAGAAATAAGTGTGTGCCAAGCACTGTGAGACTGGAAAGACTTCATGCCTGGGTGGCAACAGCATCACTAATCAGCTCCCACACCGACCAACTACCTGTGCCTTTACTCCATCTCTGAAGACTGGGATAGCAGTACCCAAAAAAAACCTTGTTCCATACGCTGGTGGTCTACAGTCATCTTTCTCCCTAAAGGTGGAATTAGTTCCGCTTTCTGGAGCCTGGCTTTTCCCCTGTTGGAATCTGGGCCAGATGGTTGGAGGAGACGAGCGCAGTGGACCACTCTTTGCAGGAAGCAGATCACAAAAAGAATGAGTGATGTGACAAATGCTTATATGAAAGAAAATGGTGAGTGACTCGGGGACGTGACAGGTCTGGCTGAGTTTGGCTCGGGTTAAGAGAGAAGAACTGAATAACATGACGTGATCGAAACGCTTCGGTACTGAAGAGTGTCAATTTCAGCCAGAACTTTGCAGCTGCTACTTTGCATTACAGTAATCAGAAAAGCATAAGATAAAATAACCATGTGGAAATTCAACCCCCCAGGATGCATTTGGAATAACCACAATGCTAAGATTAGAAAAGAAGGCACACATTTTGATGAGGATGTGATATGAACTAACCCCATTCTCATTGTGCATGTCTGAGCTGCTTCCTCCTCTCCTGCTGGGCTGCTCCTGAGACTGCTGGCTCCCTAAGAGCGAAGAAATAAAATACAATGAGTCAGTCAACAAAAAGTACATTCTTTTGTGAAATATAATCATGAATTAACACAAAAAGCATCTATATATACATTGCGGAATTTTAATAAACCAAACGTGGTTGGCCGAACGGAGGGAGAATCATCACATGACTGTGGAGGAAAAGTTTAAAGGGCTCATATGATGCGATTTCAAGTTTTCCTTTCTCTTTGGAGTGTTACAAGCTGTTCATGAATAGATAAGATCCCTAAAGTTGCAAAGACTAAAGTCTCAAACCCAAAGAGATATTCTTTATAAAAGTTAAGACTCGTCCACGCCCTCCTAAAACGCCTCGTTTAAACACGCCCCCACATGTCTATGTCACTGTGTGGGAAGATTTGCAACAGTCTATGATGCTGACAAATAATGCTGACTCACAGTCTGTAAGTTAGGGTTGGGTACCTAAACCCGGTGCCATATACCTTTGTAACCGGTATGTACTAGAACCGAATCAGAACGCAGATTTCGGTGCCACTTAAATGCCTGAGTGATTGATTGAAATATTTGTCCTGGCTCTCCGAAATGGACGTAAGAAGCATGGGCGTCGCTAGGCCATTTTTAGCGGGGCTATAGCGATTAGCTCCAAAAACTGTACACAAATTCGTGATCACCTCAGAATCAGTCCCCTTTAAATTTCATATGAAAACAGCGGCAGGCTTCGTCTCCTCCCCGTCTTTCAGCGCGCTCTTCAATCCGCAGACCGCGGCGGCGCAGCGCGAGCGGACTCAAACAGAAACAGAGGACGCAAGGTGTGTGTTTATCAATAGATTGTTATAATATCTGTATCTATGCAGTTCTTTGGCATAAATACAGTTTACAAAAGGTCACGAGGGAGCAGTCGGTTTTCCATCTCAGAGCGAGAAACAGAGGACAAGGTGTGTGTTTATCGATAGATTGTTATAATATCAGCATTTGTGCAGTTCTTTGTCATAAATCCAGTTTACAAAATATCACGGGGGAGCAATAATCGGTTCCCCATCTACTGTAGCCTAAGTTTTCACTGCATTCACCCCTCATCACACCACAGCTGTTTCCTCCAGCGAAAATCTAGCCCTTAACACATATGAACGCATACTTTATATAACGATCATTTTGCTATTTTCATTTGAAAATGTAATATTTCATATAAAACATATTACAGTGCATGTGGCATACCATACAGTCAATTCACTCATTTTAACTAAATATCAGAGTAACTGACAGAGATACAGTAGAAACATTATGTGTGGTTTTGTATTAAATATTGCTTTGTATTAAATAATGACCCAGATCGTGAAACTTTTTTAGCAACGTCATATGACCCCTTATATGACCCCTTTAAAGGCCCGTTTGTTATTGCCATGTGACACTGGGAACGGAACTTGTGCTTTTAGTGTATTACTGCCATTTTTTCCCCTCCCACACATAGGGGTTTCAGGTTTATGCCTTAATCCGTGCGGACGCTCACTACAAGCTAATCCTGTCTAAAGTGATAGGAAAAACCTCACTGGGATGTGAACAGAAAGGGTGAAAACAAACAAATGACAGGATAAAGAAAGGGAGAAAAGACTAGCAGTGTTAAAATGGATCGCGTACATGAGGCAGCAATACATTGTGTTCAGTGGTGATGCGAGCAACCCGCCCACGGTGAAATCTCATTGATCAAAAATCCTGCTATACACAATTGTACAATAAGGTGACATCAAGTCAGTTTTTATCTGTCTAACATTGTGGCAAAACAGCTTTTCAAAATGTTTATTTTTTTTTACCAGTTAACACTTTGTTTGTGATTTTCTTTTTATTGACGTATGATTTAGTGATTTAATCTGTCCTTCTGCTTTAAAACAGTGGGTAAACTTATATATAAATATAAAATATAACTATTTTAAATGTATAAATGTATTTATATTTTAAACAATGTACAATAGCATAACCTGCATTCATCTATCTATTTTTGGTCATTTTTATCCAATTAATCAAATAAATTTACAGATTATAAAAAATGAGCATGAAATATTGCACAATAGCCATTTTCTAAATTACCATTTTGCAATAGTTTAACTATTTTATAATCGTCTCAATTTGAAAGCAATCAGTCACACATAACAAGCTGTTATTGTGTGAATGTGTGTTTGTATCTAGGGCTGGGCGATATAGCTAAAAAATGTATCAACGATATAATGTTTCATATCATTCGGTATCGATAATTATTGACATTTTTATAACCTTTTTTAAAACAAAGAGCAATAGAATTTTTTTTTTTTTTAATTTAACCACTGTATTTTTAAATTAAACCAAATTATTGGGACAAACAACAAATATTTTTTGTTTTAACAGTCAAACACACAATAAAAATTAAACAAATATCTAATTTCTAATGTTTTATATGCAGATTAAATAGGTCTTAAGGAAACTTTTGGCTTGTCTCCCGAGGCCACAGGAGCACGCAATGAGCACAATAATGCAGCACATTTAAATTGTCAACACAAGGAAATAAATGTCTATAAAAAAACCTGCATTACGTCTAAATTAACTCATAAAAATCAAACATAATTTTGTAAATTGCATAAACAATTATGAACAAAACAGCATCATGTATTTATGCATTGCTTAATCCAAAGAGCCGAATCGCCCATCATGCAGATTGCATTTAAAAACATAAGAGACGCAGTGAAAAGGAATAAACCTCCACAAATTCGAGACGTGTTTTCTAAAAGTTTATACAGTTTTAATTTTGCATGGCTACATTTCGTGTGAGACGCGAGTGCAGCAGTCATAATTTTGTCTGTCTAAAAATGCGCTGAATATGCGTTCTGTGTGAATGGCTTGGTTTCGGTTTCTAAAATGCAACAACGTCACTTACATCATTATCACCGCATCTCATGCACCACTGATGACGCTCCCTGACGGACTCCTAACATTCAAATGCAAATGTTTATTTTAAATTCGACTAATATTCATTTATTTATTCACAATCTCCTCATCACAGGCAGGCACAGCACTCAATTCATTGTGTTCGGTGTTCGTGTGTGCTGTCTGCGTCACTCATAGCACGTGCCTATATCGTGCACCAGGGCTGTGTTTAATAATTAAGTGTAAAATAACACTGCATAGAGTTCACTGTATGAATTCAATTTCGATTAATCTTTGTTATAGCTGTTTTGTTGTTTGATTAACATTAGTGACATATTCAGCAGCACGTATTTATAGGCTGCTGTCCCTTTAAAACCGACTGCACGGATCCAGTATAATAATACACATCCGATGTCTTTCTCAGCTGTTTACATTCATTTAAAACATAACTGACTGCATTTACGAGAATGATCGTCGAGACGGGTCCTATTGACATAATTCTGTGTGTATGTGTCTGTTCAAACATAAGGAGGAGATGCGAAAGACGAATCAACTCGGTCTGAAACGCATCTCTCTCTCTGTGTGTGCACGCGCTTTGCACGTGTGCGGCAGAACTGAAGCGACGCTGTGCGAGATGCGGCTTGTGTGTGCGCTTCAGGTGTGAGTCAGACAGCAAGAGGAGACGGCAAAAAGTTTCTGCAACTTATTGCACTTAACTCTTTTTAACGTCAAGCAATTATCTGCTATATGCGTCGAACTAAAACTTTGACCTTTTGCAACGTTTTGATTTAAGTAGCCTATTATTAAAATGATTCAGATATCGCACGCCCTTGCGATATACATATTGCGATATTTACATTTGCGATATTTCGATAATTTCGATATATTGTGCAGCCCTATCGTGCACTATATTGAAAATGTTTTATATCGTTATCGAAGAAGGTGTACAGTCGATAAATATCGATACCGTTTTATCGCCCAGGCCTATTTGTACCTGTCCAGTAAAGGCAAATGTAAACAAGCAAGGTGCTTGATTATAGAACCAGTAACATATTACTTAATCACCGCAGCAGTGCTGCCAAGGTTGTGCATTTTTGTAGCCTTACTCAACTTGCATGCTCAGTCTGGGATATGTTTTAAGTTCATTTCAGCAATATCATTTCATCTTAAACTTTGATATGATTTTACTGTGGTAGTCTTTTCCCAAGTCACAATGCCTTGCTCACTGTAATTTGAAGGCACTGACACTTTCAAAGCTACTTTGAGATCATTCATTTTGTGAAAAGCACAACCGAACTGAATCAGGAACAGAACTCTGCATTGTTCGGCCAGGATGTGCTTGTCTCTTCATTTCACATGTTGGAGGCCACTGAAAAGGGAATGAAAACCATTCAGCCACTGTCAGCCAATGAGAGGAGAGCGGTAGTGGGCGAGACGTGGCCTTTAGCCAGTCAAGTGGGAGCGTTCTCACCCTGATCGCTGCTTTCAGTAGGCGAGTCTTCGTGGCGCAGGTAGAACTTCACCTCCTGCTTTCTGGGGCCCCATTTCTGCAGGTGCTCATACATCATGTGGTCAAAAGGTATGGCTCGCTCTGGACAGGGGAAACCAAAAGACATGGCATTAAAACAACAAGCCACTCTAATTTTAAAAAAGGTCACAAACAATTTTTTGTTCCTCAGGAAAAGAACAAAACAAAAGTAGGTATAAAGATGGAGATAGTAAGTTCACATCAAAAGAAGAGTAGGAGATAGATCATCTCATGCCGAGCATTTCATTCCAGTGTTACACACTTATACCCACACCTGAAGAGAAAGAACAGAGGAACAGACACAGTGGGATCAAAAGAACAAAGAAGACGTGAAATTGAATCAAACGTGGCATCCAGCTAGAGGAATGTGGTGGGGCTGGGTGGGCAACAAAGACATGGATGTGGAAAAACAACATTTTGGACATTGCTAACAGGTGGAGGGACATCTGGAAGTCTGGCAGCCATCCAAAGGGGAATAGAGAATAAAACGACACGGAATAATAGAAGAAAGTATGAAAGTGGAAGAATAACAGAAAAGCACTCAGGCTCATGGATGTTAAGAAAGAAAGTGAGAGCAGCCAAATTTAACCTAAAAAAAAAAACCTGGAACCAGAAGCTTTAGCAAATGTTAGAAACACACACTCTCTCACACACAAGAACATTAAACTCCTCATATGAAGAAAGTTTTACTCCGTTTGAAAATCAGCCTTTTAGAACATGTTTTTCTATTTTACAACTAGATTTTTGGACTCATGTAAAAGTCACAGCCATGATGCTAGGGTGTTGTGGTTGGTTGTACTAAAACAGTTGCTAAGGTGGTTGCTAGGTGGCTGCTTACTAGTCCTGGAGAGATTTCTGTTCCTCCATTGAAAGTTCACGTAACCAAAACTTTGATGCTTCAAAATATTTCATGAAGACATTGTAAAAGTAATACATATGAATAGAACAGTTTAATCAAAGTTTGAAGATATTGATAAACAGATTTAATTTAGGCTTTTATTCACATACATAGAGCACATCAAATATGGTAAACAGAAGCTCAACCATACTTGACTGACACGTGACAACCAATGAGTCTGGATGAACAGTTCATCCAAAAATCTAAATTCTGTCATTAATGTATTTGTGATTGTTTCAATTATCAAATAATTATCCCAAATAAATATTAATTATCAAAAATTACTGATATTCCAATTATTTTGAGAGTCCGATAGAAAAGCCTGGACCGCTGAGCACCACAAGAAAAGATTTGGTGAGGCAAAATATCCACTTAATAACCAGACTCTAATGACGAATCTTGTGCGATCCATCACCTGCTGTAAAATATCTGGGCTCATCATGATTTCAAAGACAGATGCACTTCGAGATGAAAGGACCCAGTGCTGATGGAAGACCTTTTGAAAGGAGGCTCCCAAGGCAAAGATAACAGTTCTGGCACACAGCTGTTTATACAAATCACCATCATCAAAGGAAATGGAAAAATGAAGGGGGAAAAATGGACCCATCTGTCAGAACAGAAGTAGCATTTATGTCTGAAAGGATTAAGTGAGTGTTTTTCATTGCAGCAAGATTCTTCAAAGTACTGTGCGAGAGCGTCTTTAAGAGAATAAAAGCACTGAATGTTTTTACTGAAAGAAAGGGCTAGGTTGGGAAGGTGAGGAAATCAGAGGATATTACAGTCTGTAGAAATTATTTCAAGTAAAGCCGAGTGCTTTCTCATTGTCAATATTTTTAAATTAAGAACTGTAGTCAATGAAAGAATAATTCAAATCCTGCGACAGGCATTACCTACAAGTATTCTGTGTTGACTTGCTATAAACAGCAAGAGGGATGGGGTTACAAACATTTTTGTTATGTGGTAACTAAAATAATCTCACCATTTCCATGCCAAACCTCGGCCAGGTGACAGCCGCTTTCTCCTGGCTCTTTACAGAACTCCACCACATCACGGCACGTCGTCTCTGGAGTGATGGGCACCTCCGTCAGCGCCTGCTCCCCATCACTCAAATACACTGTTAAAATCATCTGAGAGAGAAAGAGACACTATTTTTAATATTTTGTACCAAAGATGGAAAAGCAGTCACCCACTCACCCATAAGACCACTAGGGGGCAGTGTCATTGCTCAAAAACAACTCAAACAACATTAGTCATGGTTTAATTTGCAATTCAGTTTTTTTTCCACACAACATCATGCTGGGTGTCTTCATTTAAAACATTGTTTTTAAGAGCTTTACCACTTAAGAAGTTGCATACGGGAAGATACAGCACACCGAGTACGTTGATGAGATTTCTAGCCCCACCCATCAAGCTATAACTCACTCTGATTGAGGGAGTAGTCTGGGCCTGTCAGCTTGACAGTGACTGACAGGTGTGGTGGGCCGGTTAGTGCTGCTCTAAGTGCAGTGTGTCAGAGGAGAGATGGACGGTTTTGGTGCAAAATAGAGAGAGAGTGCGATAAAGGCAGAGAGGAAGATCAAGAGAAGGGGTGATGTAAACATTACCTCCCTAATGAGGAGATGAGAGCATGATCGTCTACATGGTAGTGCACTGCCACTTTTATGCAAGTATTTAAACAAACGCACTATTCCAAACAGTGTCCTTCTACCATCCTTGATATTATGAGTATACGGACTAAAAAAAAAGGATATTTCATGAAACGTATCACTGTGCAGCTTAGCAGAGAGAAGAAGACAAATTCATTACGTCAACCATCACGCAATCATCCCGACTCGTCACAACAGAGGTCTGTGATATGACATGTGACATTTATCAAGAATACGTGGCTGGGGAAACCTTTATATCTGTTATATAAGTCTCAAGTATCACATTACTTGTCATAATTCCAAATGAGAAGTAAGCCTGACCTTTGCGTGGTGCAGAGTCTTAAGAGAGAAGCAAATATGCCCGAGACAACTTTAGACAAGATAAATGGGTGTTTTTTTTAAACTAAGGGCACTGTTGACCCTGAGGACTGGAAGTAGTGTGAGAGTGAAAAATGTGTTTTAAGAGAGTTTACTTTATTCTAGGGATGCACTGATACTATATTTTCAGAACTGATACGATCCCAAAAATTCTGAGTAAGCAGTAACCAGCGCAATGTAGAATTTCTATATCTGTGTGTTGACCCGATCATCACTTTGCATGTTAAACACAATCTACTAAATATAGACAACTTAATTATAAAGAAGTGAAAAAATATATAATCATAACCTATGACAAAAACACTATTAGAAACTAGGTTAGTGGATAATTCAGCAGCAAAAGTTATTCTAGAAAAATCATGAATGACAATAAAAAAAACATTTAGTGAAAAACAATTTAGTGGGGAACAAATAAAAGTGTAGGACTAAACCTGGTAAAATGTTACACATTTTTACTCTGTATTATTGTAAAATACATTTATGAAAAACAAGTAAATATATTTATATATAAATATATTAGAGCCAGACAGATATATCGTTTTGCCGATATTATCGGCCGATATGAGCCTGTCGCCGATATATCAGTATCGGCGAATATGCCGCCAATATTACATTTTTTTTTTACAGAACATATAACGCAGATAAAATGCTTAAATGGTGTAATTACAGCAGAGCGCGCTCCATTGTTTGCTACTGGTGACCTGGATGAAACGCTTTAAAACTTAAGTCTATGGAAAACCATTTAAATTTTGAACGGCCATATCTCCGTAACGGCATGGCGAATCCGCACCAAATTCGGGGATCCCTTCAGCTCAAGGAACCCTCTCGAACGTGAGTCGAGTGTACTTCTAGAGGCCTGCTTTCGAATGAGACCACCCCCGCATCGATAGCCCCCGGGGTTCAGGAGGTTAAATTCACGGTCCGGCACCGACCGATCAAGCGATCCCGGGGGCCTACCGACGCGCGGAGGGTGGCGTTCGAGAGGGCTCCTCGAGCTGAAGGGATCCCCCGAATTTGGTGGAGATCCGCAGGCGCATTCATGAGATAGTGACACCAGACAACACTTTCACTTCAGTAAGGGGGTCTCTTGTTCAGGCAGCAGCATTCAAGCGTTGTCTTATTCGACCGTAAGTGCCTTGCGAAGT